AATTGATCTAGTGAATTAAATCCACCCGATATTTGTTGCTGTATTTTTCAGTTCCAAATTTTTTATTTGATTCTTCTTCATATAAGTTCCCTGCAGAATGTTTCAATCTCTTTTTTAACTCTCTGAATAAAGTACAATTCTAGTAATTCTGTTTGGTAGCTCCAATAACTGGATCTTCTTTGAATCTAGTACTATAGCCTTTACTGGCTCTCATTCATTTTGTCATGTGTACTTATGTGACTCAGTATCTCTCATTATGTGCCATACTACAGTTGTCCTTTGTTACACATAAAGGATTGATTCTAGGACCCCCAAGGATACCCCAAAAATCTGTGTACACTCAAGTTCCAAAGTCAGCCCTGCAGGACTCACTTACATAAAAAGTTGGTCCTCTATACATCTGGATAGAGGACCATCTGGATACATTGGTCCTCTATACATCTTCACATCTTGCAAATACTGCATTTTCAACCTAAGTTTAGTTAAATAAAAGGCACATATAAGTGGACCCACACACAAACACATGTTGTTCACGGGCCAGTTGTATTTGAAAAACTGTTTCATAAAATATCTAAAGGCTGGCTGGCCGTGGTGGCTCACACCTGTACTCCTAACACTTTGGGAGGCCAAGGCAGGTGGATTGCCAGAAATTCAAGACCAGGCTGGGCAACACGGTGAAACCTCATCTCTACTAAAATACAAAAAATTAGCTGCACATAGCAGCATACACCTGTAGTCCCAGCTATTCAGGAGGCGGAGGCAGGAGAATTGCTAGAATCCAGAAGGCAGAGGTTGCAGTGAGCCAAAATCGCGTCACTGCACTCCAGCCTGAGGAACAGAGTGAGACTATCTCTCTTAAAAAAAAAAATCATCTAAAGGCTGAAATGATGTTTTCTCCAGAGAGAATTCTGACTTGATACTGGGAGCACCAGGAGTATAAAATCACCTTAGTCAATTTCAGGTATTAATTTTTGCTGCCAATCAGACAAATCTGAAACTGTTAAGAGGAGATCTTTCCATCTCAGTTCGCATTGACTCCTAAGGTATAGTCTGTTAGGGTCCCCCCCTTACCGAAGCTTGTGATATTTTTAAGAGCTTTCACCTTTCGTAGGCCCTCATCTCTAAGCTTTGTCCTCTAGCCCTATAAAGCTGTTAAAAGTTCTGCTCGGGACTTGACTAGACTGTATCTAATCAACAGTAATTAAATTAGAATTCAAAATTAAAAACATAGTCCTCCAAAGAATTTCAGAAATTAAAAAATGCATTCCTACATTACTCATAGATGAAAGAGGAAGTCATGCATGATAGAAAAAACAAAAATGCATAACATTGAGCAATCATGGTGGTATGTATCAAAATTCATGAGAACTTTATATCATCAACTGGACTATAGGAAAAAAAGGAGAAAGGAACTGGTTTTACTGTAGGAGATCTTAGCAAACTATGGATCCTACCAAACAAAATAAAATAGAAAAATAAACAACAGCATCAAGAAGAAATAAAACAAACAAATCCTCCTTATTTGCAGATGAGATGGCTTTCTACATAAAAATAGCAAGAGGATCTACAAACAAGGTATAAAACTAGTATCTCAGAAAGGTAACTGGAGGCAAGATTAATATAAAAAATAAGAATTCTTATAAATTAGTACTATCCAATGAGAGAATGGAATAGAAAAACAGATCTCATTCACAATCAAAACCATAAAGTATTTAGAAATGTTTTTTTTTTAAATATATAAAACTTTTGAAGAAAGTTATAAAACATTACTGAAGAGTATAAAAGAGTTTCTGATTAAACACAGAAATGTTACATTTTATAAAGAAAGTATCATGGTGGGCAGGGCGTGGTGGCTCATGCCTATAATCCCAGCACTTTGGGAGGCTGAGACAAGCAGATCACTTGAGGTGTGGAGTTCGAGACAAGCCTGGGTAACACAGTGGTCTTCACTTAAAATAGAAAAAATAAGCTAGGCATGGTAGTGCATGACTGTAGTCCCAACTATTCGAGAGACTGAGGCAGCAGAATTGCTTCAACCTGTGAGATGGAGGTTGCAGTGAGCTGAGATCCCACCACTACAATCCAGCCTGGGTGACAGAGTAAGACTCTGTCTCCAAAAAAAAAAAAAAGAGGATAATAGGCAGAAAGATAGTGTAAATAAAATTGTTAGTTCTCCACACATTAATCTATAATTTTAATAAAAACTATCAAATCCAAAACAGAGTCTTCTGGTAGAACATAATAAATTTATGTTAAAATTCAAGAATACATAAGAATAGCTAACAAATTCTGGAAAGCAGTAATGTGGGAAACTTATGTTACCAGGTATCAGCATAAATAAATGTCAAAAAATGTAGTACTTACCCCCAAAAAAACACATTACAGAATTACATTCACATTTAACACCACTTAAAGTATCAAACAGCAAAATATAATGACCTATTTTTTGTGAATATATGTATGGATGTGGTAAAAGAAACACATAAGATTGATAAGCACTAAACTCAAGATAATAGTTACCTCAGGTGACAGAGAAGAGGAAAGAAATCAGCAAAGTACATTCAACCACATCTACAATATTTTATTAAAAAATAAAAATCAGAAGAGGAAAGGGAATATAGAACAGTATTGGAATATGTCATTTCTGTAAAAGTAGTAAGCACCTGAAGCAAATACAAACAGATGTATATTCAAAGGGTTCATTTATCATTCTCTGTTCTTTCATATTTGTGCTACATTTCATAGTAAAATTAATTAGCTAGGCAAAAACACAAGAAGGAAAAAAATGAGGAGTTAGATAAATTGACCTTTAAGATTCTTTTCTGCTCTAAGTCCCACCCGTTTCTAAATGTTCTGATTTAATGAGAGTCTTAAGTACCTAAACTTCTTTCATTTCTAATTAAATTTAGGTATTAACTTTTTAGAACAAGTCATGACGTAAATCAGATAAAGAGTAAGAGGTCTGTGTGACACTTAATTTCACTTGCAAGACCAGGCTTCTGGCCATTTTTCTCTGAAGTAACCTCAATAATTTCAACACATTATATAAATAATAGATTTGTAAGAAATGTTTATTAGGCATCTTTTTACATGCAGTCTCTTCAGTCTCCTCTTTTGCCCTCCATGCTGCTGGGGGAGAGAACCCTCTCCTTCCCCTCTGGAAATACAATAATTAGAGTCTATAAAATAAACTGACAATAGATTAGCAGAAGAAAAGATGTACAGATTTATTACCTGTATATGCATGAGAAGTCCCACAAACTACGAGATTCAGAGAAGGGCCAAATGGTTGAAGCTATGGGAGGATGAGGGTAGGAACTGTACTATAAATAAAGATCATCTTATTATACAGATAAAGTCTCTGAGGTGGCAGCCCTCAGAAGAACAAGTGAAAAGTCTGTCTGGGTGTGGTGTCCTCTGCATGAAGACCTGTCAATCTCCTCTTCTGTGACATGAGTAAGGTCTCTGGTTAGTGCAGATTTCAGGGAAGGTATTCATGACAATCACATTCCTCCTGGAGGAACATCCCTTAGTCAGGTGAGAGAACTTCAGAGAAAGCTCCTCCCTGTGTTTCAGAGGGGTGAGAGACTGAGGAGCAGAAGAAGGATCAAGACACTGTAGTCTTGAAGCTGCAAAGATATAGAGAAATTGGAACCCTCATATATTGCCGGTGGGATTGCAAAATGGTGTACCTGTTTTGGAAAACAGTTTGTTTCCAAACATATTAAATACAGAGATATGGTCGGGCATGGTGGCTCAGACCTGTGATCACAACATTTATGGAGGCTGAGGCAGGAGAATCACTTGAGCTCAAGAGTTCGAGACCAGCCTAGGCAATATAGTTAGACTACAGCTCTACAAAAATTCCTTAAAAAGTTAGCTGGGCATGGTGGTGCACACCTTTAGTTCCAGTTACTTGGGAGTCTGAGGTAGGGAGATCACTTGAGCCCAGGAGTTCAGGGTTGCAGTGAGCTACAACTGTGCCACTGCACTTCAGCCTGGGCAACAGAGTGACACCCTGTCTCAAACAATATATATAATAAACATACATAAATAGATAGATGAATAAAAAACACAAAGTTATCATATGATCCAGTAATTTTTTTCACAAGTATATACCTAAGAGAACTAAAAACATGTTTCTCAACGAAAGCCTATACAAAAATGTTCACAGCAACATACATAATGGCTGAAAAGCAGAAACAACTCAAATGTCCATGAACTGATAAATGGATAGATAAATAAAATGTGATATACTCATTGAATGGAAAACTTTCTAGCAATAAGAAGAAATAAAGTACTGGTATATGGTAAGACACAGATATATCTTTAAAGTATATGAATGGAAACATCCAGTCACAAAGGCCACTTCTTGTATGATTCCATTTATATAAAATATCAGAATAGGAAAATAAATAGAAGAAAAAAGCAGATTAGTACTTGTCAGGGACAAGGAGCAGGAAGGAATATAGGAGTGACTGATAATTAATACGGGATTTCTTTTGGAGGTGATGAAAATGTTCCGATATCAGGCAGTGGTGATAGCTGGACAAGTTAGTAGATACACTAAAAACTACTGAATTGATTATTTTTAAAGAGTAAAATTTATGGTACATAAATATTTCCATACAGCCTTTATTTAAAAAATGGAAGATCAAAACTATGAACTTCTTTTCCTCTCTGACTTCCATTTTTTCCATTATAAATACAAAGTCTTTTTTTGTTTGTTTGTTTTTGTGTTTTTTTTTTTTCCAAGAGAAATAACTTTATTTGGACTGAGAGCTGGAGAATAAGAATAGGACCTGACACAGTATATTGGGCTAAGGAGAAGAGGTGAGGTTCCAAAACGGCAGTCAAAGCTCATCAACCAAACGGAGTCTACTTCCCAGCAACTCTGCAGTTAGTGCAACCACCAAAAGGCCTGCTGGGGAATGTATTTGCCACTAAATTCTCCAAGCATGCCAACACTACAAAAAAGATAGAGGTGAAGAAATGCTAACCTGAACTGGAAGAAGAGGAAAGATGGCACTGTAGGACCAACTCAGGATTGTAGTTCCCAGTGAATCCGCAGAGGGTGAGTGGATGCCGCATTTCCACATGGATCTTTACTGTCCACAGACTAGGAGATTCCCAGGTGTAAGAGCCCCATGTGCCACCAGTGCGGCAGTTTGGGCCGGCACGGCTGTTTGGGCCGAGGCCACAGCTCAGCAACACTCCATACAAAATACACTGGTTTGCTTGCCCTATTAAACTGGCAATTGGAGATTTCAGAAGGCAGATTAGCACATTCATCTGATTAAACGGGACTTAAACTGAAAGCCAGGCCAGGAGATTCCCGGGCAGCAACAGGGTTTGAGCCAGTGCAGTGGGTCGCTGCATGGAAAATCACACAGATCCTGGTGCCCTTGCAGCAGGTGACTGGAACACCTGGGAGAGTCAACCATTCAACTTAAAAAAAAAGGGCTCTGACGCAGGGAGCGAGGTGATCAGGCTCGGCGGGTCCCACCCCCACAAAAAAGAAACAAAACAGCAACTGGAAACGCTCAGGGTTGAGAGTTTCACAGCAAGCACAGCTGAACCCAGGACAGTGAAGCTCGGTGGGGGAGGGGCGTCCACCATACTGAGGCACGCGACCCCTACAGAGGTACTCAGCCATTGCCGACACAGCCTGCCATAACAGAGAGAGTCCGCCACTACAGAGGCGGGCCAACATCGCCACTGCAGTTCTAACCACACCCATATAAACAGGACTACAGGGAATTACACACGGCAGCAGGGCGGAGCCCAGGGCAGATCATCATAGCCACTACAGGCAAGCAGTGACTAGACTGCCTCCTCGCTGGGCAGGAAAGTGCAACAGATCCTCATAAATAAAGCCCTAACTCCCTGGGACAGAGCACCTGAAAAAAAAAAAAGGGGGACTTTATAAGTTCTGCTGCAGCAGACTTAAACATACCTGCCTAGCAGCCCTGAATGAACAACGGAGCTCACAGCTCAGCACTAGAGCTCCTATAAAGTACAGACAGTCTCCTCAAGCAGCTCCCTGACCCTCGTATATCCAAAGAGTCACTTCACAAAAAACTGATCAGACTGACATTTGGCGGGCATCATTCAGGGACAAAGATAGCAGAAGAAGAATCTGGTAGTAACCCTCATACTTCCGCAGCTGCTACAGGAGTTCCCCAGGCAAGCAGGGCCTGAAGTGGACCTCAGCAGTCCTACAGCAGTGGGGCCAGACTGTTAGAAGGAAAACTAAGAAACAGAAATACTTCATTATCAACAATCTGGATGTCCACTCAGAGACCTAATCGAAAAACCAGAAGACAGGTGGATAAATCCATAAAGATGGGGAAGAAACCAGCGCAAAAAGGAGGAAAACACCCCAAACCAGAACACCTCGCCTCCTACAAAGGACCAAAACTCCTCACCAGCAAGGGAACAAAGCTGGATAGAGAATGACTGTGATGAAATGACGAAATCAGACTTCAGAAGGTGGGTAAGAAGAAACTTCCATGAGCTAAAAGAACATGTTCTAAATCAATGCAAAGAAACTAAGAACCTTGAAAAAAGATTTGAGGAAATGATAACAAGAATGGACAACTTAGAGAGGAATATGAGTGAATTGAAGGAGCTGAAAAACACAACACAAGAACTTCACGAAGCATGCACAAGTTTCAACAGCCGAATTGACCAAGCAGAAGAAAGGATATCAGAAGTCGAAGATCAACTCAATGAAATAAAACGAGAAACCAAGATGAGAGAAAAAAGCACAAAAAGGAATGAACAAAGTCTCCAAGAAATGTGGGACTATGTGAAGAGACCTAATCTACGTTTGATAGGTGTGCCTGAATGTGACGAAGAGAATGAATCCAAGCTGGAAAATACTCTTCAGGATATTATCCAGGAAAACTTCCCCAACCTAGCAAGGCAGGCCAATATTCAAGTCCAGGAAATACAGAGAACACCAAAAAGATATTCTGCAAGAAGAGCAACCCCAAGGCACATAATCATCAGATTCACCAGGGTTGAAATGAAGGAGAAAATGCTAAGGGCAGCCAGAGAGAAAGGTTGGGTCACCGACAAAGGGAAGCCCATCAGACTCACAGCAGATCTCTCAGCAGAAACACAACAAGCCAGAAGAGAGTGGGGGCCAATATTCAATATCCTTAAGAAAAAGATCTTTCAACCCAGAATTTTTTATCCAGCCAAACTGAGCTTCATAACTGAAGAAAAAATAAAATCCTTTGTAAACACGCAAGTACTCAGAGATTTCGTCACCACCAGGCCTGCTTTACAAGAGCTCCTGAAAGAGGCACTACACATAGAAAGGAACAACCAGTACCAGCCATTCCAAAAATATACGAAATGCTAAAGAGCATAAACAAAATGAAGAATCTGCATCAACTAACAGGCAAAACAGCCAGCTAGCATCAAAATGGCAGTATCAAATTCACACATAACAATATTAACCCTAAATGTAAATGGACTAAATGCACCAATCAAAAGACACAGACTGGCAAATTGGATAAAAAGCCAAAACCCATCAGTGTGCTGTAACCAGGAAACCCATCTCACATGCAAGGATACACAAAGGCTCAAAATAAAGGGATGGAGGAAGATTTACCAAGCACATGAAGCGCAAAAAAAAGCAGGAGATGCAATTCTTGTCTCTGATAATATAGACTTTAAAGCAACAAAGATTGAGAGAGACAAAGAAGGACATTACATAATGGCAAAAGGATGGATGCAACAAGAAGAGCTAACGATCCTAAATATATATGGACCCAATACAGGAGCACCCAGATATATAAGGCAAGTTCTTAACGACTTACAAAGAGACTTAGACTCCCACACAATAATAGTGGGAGACTTTAACACTCCACTGTCAATATTAGACAGATCAACCAGACAGAAAATTAACAAGGATATCCAGGGCTTGAACTCAGATCTGAAACAAGCAAACTTGATACACATTTACAGAACTCTCCACCCCAAATCCACAGAATATACATTCTTCTCTGCATCACATCACACCTACTTGAAAATTGACCACATAATTGGAAGTAAAGCACTCCTCAGCAAATGCAAAACAACGGAAATCATAACAAACAGTCTCTCAGACCATAGTGCAATCAAGTTAGAACTCAGAATTCAAAAACTAACTCAGAACCACACAGCTTCATGGAAACTGAACAACTGGCTCTTGAATACTGATTGGATAAACAATGAAATGAAGGCAGAAATAAAGAAGTTCTTTGAAACCAGAGAACAAAGACACAACATACCAGAATCTCTGGGACACATTTAAAGCAGTCTCTAGAGGAAAATATATAGCAATAAGTGCCCACATGAGAAGAGTGGAGAGATCCAAAATTGACACCCTATTGTCAAAATTGAAAGAGGAGGAGGAAGAAGATCAAAAAAATTCAAAACCTAGCAGAAGACAAGAAATAACTGAGATCAGAGCAGAACTGAAGGAGATAGAGACACAAAAAAACCCTTTAAAAAATCAATAAATCCAAGAGCTGGTTTTTTGAAAAGATCAACAAAATAGACAGACCCCTAGCCAGACTGATAAAAAAAAGAAAAGAGAGAATAACCAAATAGATGCAATAAAAAACGATAAAGGGGAAATCACCACAGATTCCACAGAAATTCAAACCATCATCAGAGAATATTACAAACAACTCTATGCACATAAACTAGTAAACCTGGAAGAAATGGATAAATTCCTGGACACTTGTGTCCTCCCAAGACTAAATCAGGAGGAAGCCGAAACTATGAATAGACCCAATAACAAGGTCTGAAGTTGAGGCAGCAATTAAAGCCTACCACACAAAAAAGCCCAGGTCCGGATGGGTTCACAGCCGAATTCTACCAGACACACAAAGAGGAGCTGGTACCATTCCTTCTGAAACTATTCCAAATAATTTAAAAAGAGGGAATCCTTCCCAAATCATTTTATGACACCAACATCATCCTGATACCAAAATCCGGCAGAGACTCAACAAGAAAAGAAAACTTCAGGCCAATATCCATGATGAACACAGATGCAAAAATCTTCAATAAAATACTAGCAAGCCCATTGCAACAGCACATCAAAAAGCTTATCCATTATGATCAAGTAGGATTAATCCTGGGGATACAAGGCTGGTTCAACATACGCAAGTCTATAATCAAATCATAACTCACCACATAAACAGAACCAAAAACAAAAACCACATGATTATCTCAATTGATACAGAAGGCCTTTGACAAAATTCAACAGCCCTTTATGCTAAAAACCCTCAATAAACTTGGAATTGATGGAATGTATCTCAAAATAATAAAAGCTATTTACAACAAACCAACAGCCAATATCATACTGAATGGTCAAAAACTGGAAGCATTCCCTTTGAAATCTGGCACTAGACAAGGATGCCCTCTCTCACCACTCCTATTCAATATAGTACTGGAAGTTCTAGCCAGAGCAATCAGGCAAGAAAAAGAAATAAGGGTATTCAAACAGAAAAGGAGGAAGCCAAATTGTCTCTATTTGCAGACAACATGATAGTATATCTAGAAGACTCCACCGTCTCAGCCCAAAAACTCTTGAAACTGATAAGCAACTTCAGCAAAGTCTCAGGATATAAAATCAATGTGCAAAAATCACAAGCATTCCTATACACCAATAACAGACTGAAAGAGCCAAATCAAGAATGAACTGCCATTCACAATTTCTACAAAGAGAATAAAATACCTAGGAATACAACTTACAAGGAACGTAAGGGACCTGTTCAAGGAAAACTACAAACCACGGCTCAACGAAATAAGAGAGGACACAAACAGATGGAGAAACATTCCATGTTCATGGTTTGGAAGAATCAATATCGTGAAAATGGCCATACTGCCCAAAGTAATTTACAGACTCAACGCTATCCCCATCAAGCTACCATTGACTTTCTTCACAGAACTGGAAAAAAAACCACCTTGAACTTCATATGGAACCAAAAGAGAGCCCACATAGCCAAGTCAATTCTAAGCAAAAAGAAGACAGCAGGAGGCATCACACTACCAGACTTCAAACTATACTACAAGGCTACAGTAATCAAAACAGCATGGTACTGATACGAAAACAGAGATATAGACCAATGGAAGAGAAAAGAGGCATTGGAGGCAACACAACATATCTACAACCATCTGATCTTTGATAAACCTGACAAAAACAAGCAATGGGGAAAGCATTCCCTGTTTAATAAATGGTGTTGTGAAAACTGGCTAGCCATGCGCAGAAAGCAGAAACTGGACCCCTTCCTGACACCTTACACTAAAATTAACTCCAGATGGATTAAAGACTTAAACATAAGACCTGGCACCTTAAAAACCCTAGAAGAAAATCTAGGCAAAACCATTCAGGACATAGGAGTAGGCAAGGACTTCATGACCAAAACACCAAAAGCATTGGCAACAAAAGCCAAAATAGACAAATGGGACCTAATCAAACTCCACAGCTTCTGCACAGCAAAAGAAACAGTCACTAGAGTGGATCGGCAACCAACAGAATGGGAAAAAATTTTTGCAGTTTACCCATCTGACAAAGGGCTGATATCCAGAATTTACAAAGAACTCAAACAGATTTACAAGAAAAAAACAAACAAGCCCATTCAAAATTGGGCAAAGGATATGAACAGACACTTTACAAAAGAAGACATACACGAGACCTACAAACATATGAAAAAATGCTCATCATCACTGGTCATTAGAGAGATGCAAATCAAAAGCACATTGAGATATCATCTCACGCCAGTTAGAATGGTGATCATTAAAAAATCTGGAGACAACAGATGCTGGAGAGGATGTGGAGAAATAGGAACACTTTTACACTGTTGGTGGGAGTGTAAATTAGTTCAACCATTGTGGAAGACAGTGTGGCGATTCCTCAAGGACCTAGAAATAGAAATTCCATTTGACCCAGCAATCCCATTACTGGGTATATATCCAAAGGACCATAAATCTGTCTACCATAAGGACACATGCACATGAATGTTCATTGCAGCACTGTTTACAATAGCATAGACCTGGAACCAACCCAAATGCCCATCGATGATAGACTGGACTGGGAAAATGTAGCACATATACACCATGGATATTATGCAGCAATCAGAAATGATGAGTTCGTGTTGTTTGTAGGGACATGGATGAATCTGGAGGACATCATTCTCAGCAAACTAACACAAGAACAGAAAATGAAATACCACATATTCTCACTCATAGGCATGTGATGAACAATGAGAACACATGGGCACAGGGAAGGGAGCACTACACACTGGGGTCTATTGGGGGGAATAGGGAGGGGCAGCAGGGTGGGGAGCTGGGGAGGGATATCATGGGGAGAAATGCCAAATGTGGGTGAAGGGGAGGAAGGCAGCAAAACACACTGCCACATGTGTACCTATGCAACTATCTTGCATGTTCTGCATATGTACCCCAAAACCTAAAATGCAATTAAAAAAAAAAAAGATAGAGGTTCTTCATCATAATTAAATTTCCACAAACCCTCAATCACAAGTATTATAAGTGGAAGTAAAAATCACATTTTACAGATCTCAAACTTGTCTTCAACATTTAGTTCATCATCTTCAAAAAACAGCTCCCCTGCTAAACTCATTAGCTATATGATTTATCCCAGCAGCAAGAAGACGGCCATGCCATGGCAATCCTCTTCCCGTTTTCCCTAGGCAAATGGGAATACAAAGTTTTAAATATGACTTTTCCAGGTTAAGTGTCATTTCTCCTGATATAGGACCACTGTTCAGTCCTTTGAAATACTAATTTTCTTTTGCAAATTTCTGGTGGGCATCTGCTATAGTTTGGTTTGCTTGACCCCCTCCAAATCTCATGTTGACATTTGGTTCCCAGTGTTGAAGGTGGGGCCTAATGGGACATGCATGAGTCACGGAAGCTGATCCCTTATAAGTGGCTTGGTGAGTTCTCAATTAATGAGTTCTTGCTCTGTCAGTTCTCTAAAGAGCTGGCTGTTAAAAAGAACCTGGCACCTCCCTTCTTTCCTTTCTCTCCCCCCTCCTCCTCCCTCACCATGTGGTCTCTGTATATATCAGCTCCCCTTTGCCTTCCCCCATAAGTGAAGCTTCCTGAAGCCCTTACCAGGAGCAGAAGCCAGCATCATGCTTCTTGTACAGCTTGTAGAACTGTGAGCCAAATAAATCTTTTTTCTTTGTAACATACCCAGCCTCTGATTTTCCTTTCTAGCAGCAAAAATGGACTAAGACAACATCTTTATGCATTCCACAGACACATATTAAAGAATAGGGAGGGCAGCATCAACAGTTGCATTGTCAAGGGAGCACCAACAGGGAATATTGTCTTTATTCCTGAAGTGCTTAAAATCTAATTGGAAACATCACTTAATGTTTTTAGGTCTCAATTCCACCATCTGTAATTGATTGGTAACTTCTTTAGAATCCAATTTAATCTGGAAAGTTCTATGATTTTATCAGTTCTGTAAATGCAAGAGTTAAATTTGTTACATTTCTCTCTACTTACAGCCCTAAGACGTTTAAGTACAGTTTATCAAAAAACTGTGCCTTGGTCCTAATAATAACTTGTAATCATATTGACGTTGGACATTTTTATGTGGGCCTATTATAACAGTTCTGTCCTAGGTCAATAGCTACAGTGATTAAATTGTTCATGAAGACCGCTAGGCCTTTAAAGGAATCCAACCACAAAGTGAGAAGATCAAAGAAAATAATTAAAATTCACTTCTTTTATTCACCACTGATTGTAAGGTACCACTTCCTCCAAAAGAGGTTAAACAACCATCTCATGGTCTAACATAACTATTTCACTGCAGAAATCCCAGCCTCTTCTAAATTACCATATTTTCTGATATAAGACTAAATCCAGATATTCACTAAAAGAGCCATCAGATCCTTACCGGAAAAGTTATCTAAAAAATATTATACAAACATACGTATGCACGTATATAAAATATTTAACCTCACAATTCCAATTCTTCACATATTTTTTTTTTTGAGACAGAGTTTCGCTCTTCTTACCCAGGCTGGAGTGCAATGGTGCGATCTCAGCTCACCGCAACCTCCGCCTCCTGGGTTCAGGCAATTCTCCTACCTCAGCCTCCTGAGTAGCTGGGATTACAGGCACGTGCCACCATGCCCAGCTAATTTTTTATATTTTTAGTAGAGACAGGGTTTCACCATGTTGACCAGGATGGTCTCGATATCTTGACCTCATGATCCACCCGCCTCGGCCTCCCAAAGTGCTAGAATTACAGGCGTGAGCCACCGTGCCCGGCATTACATATTTTCTTTAGGAGGTCCCTGGCTTAAACTAGGTTTTCACAAGAAAATAGACAAGAAGGTTATGAAGACCTAGAAGCATTCCCCTCTCCCCACCTCTTTACAGTAACTTCAAATTGAATAACTTGTTTGGCTTTCAAGAGTTTTATCATGGTAGCCTGATATAGAGGAAAATGGAAGTGATCGAATTCTAGAAATGAATTTAGCTTTCAAAGGGCGTTTGTCAAAGGAGTTCAAAATATAAGATGAGATATTAGACAGCAAAGGTATCAGTTCTTACTCAAGTGACAAAATCAGTTCTCTAACAAGCAATGTTCAGATAATTTAGTAGGTACTTTGTAATTACCATGAGTGAGATAACTGTTAACCATTAACGAATGAGTAATTATAATCTTTCTACTCCATGGTATCCTTTTACCTTTTCTTCCACAAAAGCCTTGGTCTTAAAAATAGCACCAAATAATATTGTAAGTTTTTCCTCAATAATATTGTAAGTTTCCCTCAATAATATTCAGTGCTGAAAAAAGATGATCAATTCTGACCCACTTCAGATGGCTTCTTAAATCAACTACTTATCAAAATCAAACAAATTAATCTCACTTTCTCAAGCCTTTATCTTAAAAATAAAAATTTACTAAACATCCTACCATGGTCACACACTTTAGTTTCCTATGGTTACTGTAAGAAATTACCAAAAACTTAGTGGATTAAAATAACAGAAATTTATTCTCTCACTTCTGGAGGCCAGAAGTCCAAAGCCCTTATCAGTAGGCCAAAATCAATGTGTCAGGAAGGCCATGCTCCATTCAGAGGCTCTAGAGGAGAATCTATTTCTTGTCTTTCTCAGCTTCTGGTGGCTGCCTGTATTCCTTAGCTTGTGGCCACATCATTCCAATTTTCAAGATCAGCATCTTCAAATCTCTCTCTGCTCCATTTTCACATTGCTTTTTAAGTATGTGTGGTAAAAACTTCCTCCACCTTGCTCCTTTCCGGATACATATAATTCGATTTAGAGCCCATCCTGGTAATCCAGGATAATCTCTACATCTCAAGATCCTTAAGTTAATAACATCTACAAAGACCCTCAATCTATGTAAGGTAACATTTTCAGGTTCTGTGGCTTAAGACCTAATATCTTTAAGGTGCTTATTTTTCGGCCTACCACCATTCACCTTCTGGCCCCAAAGATTCATATCTGACCCACATGCCAAATACATTCACCCCATCCCAGCATCCCGCAAAATCCCACCTCATCACAGAATCAACTCAGATTCAAAATGTCATCTAAATAAGTGTCATCTCAAACCCCCAAATCTTACCTAAATTAGGTATGAGTTAGATTATGGGGATGATCCATCCTAAGGCACTTCTAGATATTTACCACACAAAGCCCTACATAAAAATTTTTATAGCAGCTTCATCTACATTGGAAGGAACACAAACAACCTTCAGTAACGGATGAACAAACTGTGACACATCCATACAAAGAAATAGTACTCTGCAACAATGCAAGCAACAGCATGGAGAAATCACGAACGTGCTCTACTAAGTAAAAGAAGCCAAACTGAAAAGGCTACCTACCACATGATTCCATTTGTATGGCATTCTAGAAAAGGAAAAATAGAGGAACAGAAAGCATATCAGTGGTTCTTAGGTGCCAGGGCAGTGGGGGAGAACTGACCATAAAAGGGCTCATGGAATTTTTAGGGGATATATGTGCTCAACATCTTGACTGTGGTAGTAGTTACACAATTCTATGTGTTTGTCAAAATTTGCAGAACTGTACAGAAACAGAGGGACTTTAACTGTATGTAAATCAATAATAAATTTAATAAAAATTTTAAAAATATTTACAATTTTTCCACACATTTACTGTAGCCATTGTTCCATAAACCCATGCTGACCTGGTACCAAAAAAAAAAAAAAAAAAAATTACAGGCCTCCCACTTCTCCAGCAGGGGCAGCTAGGGAGCCAAGAGTCACTGGGCACATGGGACCACCTCCCTGAACCTCTGCATGTGAACCTGGTGGGCCACCCATTGACCTGTCGCTATAGTCCCTGAAGTGGGTTCCTACGTTGGGCCAGGTCAGGCTGGCCCTGGTGCTGGTTGTCCAGCTAGTGCAGCAGATGCTAATGTGCCAGGCAGCACTGGCAGGCAGAGCCGCAGGTGGACCCTGCAGATCTGATGGACCACGTGGAGTACCAGTACAAGGCTATGCCACTCATCTTCATGGGCGGTATGCTCTGCAGCAGCATCATACTGATGTTTGTGGGCTGAACGACCACCCTGAGGTGCACTGCAGCAAGGAGACATACATCATCCCTTGCGTGCTGGCCATGCATCTGGCCTGGTCCAAGTCTGGCCACAAGAAACTACAGCTGGACAAGGCGGGCGTGACTGATGAGGTGTTGAACACAGCCATGCAGGCATTCATCCTGGAGGTGGTCTTTAAGCAAAGGGAGCCAGCCCGTGTGCTCTGCAACAAGGACCACTTCACACTCAAGTCCTTAAATCCTTGGTCTACCTGCTGTACCTGTTCCCCAACTCCAAGTTCCCACTTATGGCTCAGGACAGCCAGGTCTCCATGTGCTCCAGTCTAGTGCAAGGTCACTATTGTGAGGTTACTACTGCAGGCTTCGACCTCAGCAGCTATGGCCACAGCCTCACCAAGTGGAACAAGGCCATGGAGATGATGTAGGTGCAGTGCATGGAGGTGGGCAAGGACAAGTGCCTGCCTGGGTACTACACACACTAGCTGGTGCTGCAGCCCAGGAGCTCCCTCAAACTAATCCTTTACCACCTCGGCATCAGCTGGAGCAACACTGTCCTCCACCATCAAGTCCTCATTGGCAAGTGGGGTGGCATCTCTCCGTCTAAGATCCAGTGGTCCACAGACCAGGTCATCAAGCCTGTGAACCTGGAAGTGCTCTCCAAGTGGACTTGCCACATCTCTGAGGACATGGTGTCAGACATGGCCCACATTGCCCCATACTGGCTCAGCTTAGCTATGACCCCTATGCACACACACTACCCGACCCCCCACCCCTCATCCCCACTTCCACTATAGCAACCCTGACCCCCATCATCATCAGTAACAAACACCAAGTAAGAGACTATACAACACCAGTCAATCGGAAAGGATATTTTCAGGTGAAACAGAATAGCACCTCCTCCCACTTAGGAAGCTCATTATTTCCAGATGTCTGCAAATGGCTTTGTTGCCCAGAAGCGAAGAAACTGCATTTAAGTGGAAGTTGGACCCCTTAATCAAGCATATTGCTTGCTATTAGTCCCCGAAACAGGACAGCTAATGAAGAATATATTTGCATATGTTTGCAACAGCTAAATCACTGAAAACGTACCTTGAAATTCTATCTTTGGACACCCTAGAGTGGAAAGCAAAGAGTATGGAACTAGTCTGGCTTTTGATACTTCAGTATTTTATATTTTCCCCCCTTAAGATCTACTTTGTTTTAAGACATGGATTTGCCGTCTTCCTTAATTTGCAAGACTCTCTCTGTGGCTTGGTTTGCTGGAACAAGGCCCACAGCCTGTGCCTCTCTTATAGATCCTTACTTTAAATTTTAAGACTCTACTTCAGAATTTAATATAAGGCCTTCTTTGATTCCTCATCAATTCTAGCTAGTTTTGCAAAGAAAAAAAATGATTTGAATAAAGTGAACAGGGGCTTAAAATAAACAAAAATTTAAAAACAAATTAAATGTATTACATAATATTTAATTCACACAATTTTAACATAGATATCTATTTTAATTTTAATATATACTTAAATATATCCTGACGTCAATAATAGAGAAAAATGTAACCCCAATACAAAATATATAATCTCTAAGAACATATAAACTATTTTTTGTTGAGTACATCTTGAATAAATTTACAAATTATAATCTGACAAAAAAATGCTTAAATCTGAAATAAAAGGTGACAAAATAACCCAGTAATGAAAAAATAAGAAAATTACAACATTCCAACAAGAGAATGAAATAAGAGTCCTCTCCCTCTCCCTCTTCCTCCCTCCCCCTCCCCCTCCCCCTCCCCCTCCCCCTCCCCCTCCCTCTCCCTCTCCCTCTCCTCTCCTCTCCTTGCACTCACTGAGAAAGGCTAAGCTAGGACACAGCAAGTAAGTGGCCACCTGCAAGCCAGGAAGAGGGCCCTCACCAGAACCTGATCATGGTGGTACCCTGATCTCAAACTTCCAGCCCCCAGAACTTGTATGAAAATAAATTTCTGTTGTTTAAGTTACCCATTCCATGGTACTTTGCTAAGGCAATCTGAAGCACACTAAGGCACTGGGGATCCTTACGTAATAAGCCACACTGAGGGTTGTGATTAATTATTCCTACAATATTCTCAGGTAGCTAATTAATTCTTCAAAATCCAGGACTGGGCCAACCTCTCCTGAGTTAAACTCTGAGTCTCTCTCTTGAAAAGCAAGTTCTAAAAACTTTCACAGAAAACCAAGTCTGTGGCTGTAACAGGTTAGTTACATACGTTGGGTTTTATGAAGCAATCTACTTTTCTTCCGTGGAGCCCAGTTTTTTCCACTAAATTTCAAATATTTTATGGTTTTACTTATACAGAAAATCCCATGAATAAATCGCTCTTATCAGAGAATTCTTCATTTTATGAAATCCCGCGAGAATACCTAAGACATTCTACTAATTCTATGCAATCATAGTGAATGAACGTCTAGAGGCTAAATTTAATTCTGTGACCATAATGCTACTAGTCTATGTCTAATAAGCGCAATTACTTTTGAACCTTTCCACAGAGTAAAAAATTTTAGAATATTTTCTAAAACAATTCAAATATTTCCTTATTCTTTTTCCGCACAAAAATATATGTTCTGCCCCCCTAATCTTTCTTAATTTAATAGGTCACAGAAACCTCCTATAAAACCAGTAAAAATGATTGGCCATTGTCACTTTATAATTCTTATAATTTATAAAGATTGTTGGTATAACTACCATCTTTACCACTCTCTTCTCAAAGAAATTCTCAGTTATATTAAAATAATTTTATTAATAACCTCATATTTTTCCCTGTCTTCTGTTTCTTACTCCCATCTCAACCCCCAATTACCAAGCTGATACTTTTAAGAATTTAACAAGGAAATGCAAAAATTTGCGTACAAGTACCTTACTGAACATGTCGTTCCTTTAAATAATTTCAGTAGTACTCTCCTGAGGTCAAGCAAATTATTTGAAACCTCAGTAAATGACATGTTTTCCTTACTTTATTAGTTTGGAAAAAAACTGTAGATTTTCAATCTTCTCTAAAAACATCATCATCATCATCATCATGATACGGATTATAATTATTCTACAAACACCCACTTTAATAATAAATGTTGGCAATGTTAAAACAACAAATGGAATGCCTTACAATGCATTAAGCTCTTCTCTTACTAAACACACAATTTTAAATCTTACCACAAGCCATTTATTCTTGATTCACAATCAAATCCTTTTATCAGTTATTCTCAGCACTTAATGTCGTTCATTCAATAAATCCAATCTTAGATGGCTACAAATGCCTTCCCTACTTCTCTATGTGTCTTAAGAGAAATCAGAGAATATGTAGAGATGGAGCTGTCATTAAGAGTATGCACAATACAATTAGGCTTTGTTATACACTAAATTTTGCTAGAATATCCGATTTGTAACTTTTCCCCATTTCTGTTGAAACAGAAAAGGTGTTCAGTAAATGCCTACTGTCATGATGGTCATGACAATAAAGACGGCAACACTGGGGAAACACTTATTAGCTACCAGATACTGTTTTATTTAATCATCATCACTATAATAATAGCAGTGTTTTCTGAAGAAAGTAAGTGAGAAAAGTGAAGTATCTTCTCCAAATTAACACAGCCAGCATGTTGAATACAGGCAGTTTGCCCTTAGACTCCAGGTTCTCAATGACTGCCTCCAAATGATAAAACAAATTACTTTCAAGAACCAATATGCCAATGCTTCACAAGATGCTTAGTTGCAAACAACTTAATCTACTCAAACTAGTTTGAACAAAAAAGGAAATTTACTAAAGGTTTTAGACAGCTCATAGAATTTACCGGGAGACCAGAAAATCGGGTTCAGAGGCCTTATAACCAAGAACAACGTCCCCAGTCACACCACAGGAGTGCTCCCCTCATCCTACAGCAACTTCCAGGACCTGTCCAGGGTACTGAGCTTTCTGCCCATGGCGTCCAACAACCAGTTACCCCCACTCCAACACTTGCCAAAAGAATGGAGCCTAAACACAAAGCCATTTTTACCATAAAATTCACCATTCAAAATCGAAGTTCAATTTGGCAGATCTGAGTTCATCACTCAACAAAGTTAACATGCAACTATTGGCTGTAAGTGAACAAAATTTAAAGTAAAGAAAAATAAAGTTATATTGATAGTATGTTTATAATTACAGTCTCAAGGAAGCATATGCTCAAGGTCTAAAAGAGAAGGCAAAATTGTTTAAAAAAAACCATGGGTTTTGGTTTATAATTGATTTCTTCATCTTTTTTTCTAATTTTAATGTTATTTTCATAAGAAATAAAAATTTGTGGGGAAAAACACACATTTCCTTTGGCATAATTACAATATCCTAAATATGTGACTGGGTTACACGTATGTTCTCAAAATAACACAACCCAACCAAAGAACACAAAATTCACACCCTGTGAAAGCCCCCAAAAGCTGCAAACGTCCTAAAAAAACTGTAAAATTTTACAGAACCACAGCTTACACTGCATTAGATTATATTAGATTCTCCCCAAATCTGAATGTGTGCCCTGCACATCAGCAACTCCATGCAACTATGTGTCTTAATATTTAGAAATGGCTGCATTTGATATAAGAAGCTTCAGTTATCCTCTCAGCACCAAAATGGCCTCTCCAGATCACAGGAAGTCAGAAAGGCTGCCTTCCCTGATACAAACACAGAGGTGATTCAAGACAGGACCCAACTGGGGAAGTGCTCCCTGCCCCTGACTAAAAGGCCAGGCTCTGCCCGGTTCCTGCTAGAGCTACTTGACCTTACCCTGGGGTCTGCCCACAACTTCCCGAACAGACCTAACGTCAGGTGGGAAGAAAGTGAGTACCTCTGGCCAAATACTCTGGCACCCAAAGATAAGTCCCATTTGCTGTTACCCTGGCTCCTCGTATTTCCTCAAGTCTACAACCACAGGCAGCTTGGGTGAAATACAGTACTTCCCAGATTTACTGTGTATGTAGATCTTGTCTTTAGAAATCTAGCTAGAATTACAGTTACTCAAGAATTTGCTCATGCCAGGAACCTGTCCCCAAGGCCAACCTGACTGCTGGGCTGTGCTCCCCAAGACAGAGGTCCCCACAGCTGCTGTGCTGCTATGAACACTGCCTCTCAGCGCTCCACATTGGCCTGCCAATGAGACATCTGCTTAGGTTTCCTTCCTACCACTTTTGTGCCAGTTAAAGAGTAGAGAGGGAGGTCTATAGAAAGGTCCAACTGTCCCCACCCCTCCCTCAAGCCCAGTGAGGAAAACTGGGTCACCCCCAGCTTCACCCTATATGTGACAGTAAAAATGCCAGAAAACCTATTTTGCATATAAACTCTTACCATTAGGGAACATATACTGAAATCTATTTATGAGCGTAAGCACAATGAAAAAGATCAAGAGGGTGACACCATGATGAAAGAAACAAACACTTCACTTTGAAAAGTTATTCTCTTCAAGTTTTCCACACATAAAATTCTAACCACTTATAGGTAGTCATCATTTCAGTGAATTGTGTCAAATGAAACAGGAAAAAGAAAGATACATTCACCATGAGGCTAATTTATGGTTTCACTAAATCCAGCCAACTGAAGGATTTCATTTAGTCTATCATGAATTCTTAGACCAAAGCAATTCTATTAAAAGCCCTTGGAGGAAAATAAAAAAACCTGAACTTGTTGTGAGGTCACCCAACAAATGCTTTCCCTAAATATTATAATTATGTCAGATACTGCCCTTCACACAATTTTGAATGGCTAGCACCAATGAGTTTGCCCATCTAAAAGGGAGGCCAACAGAATAATTTTTTTAATTTTTACAAAATGTTTATTCTTTGAAATCCAATGCATTCAAAGGATGTTAACACTTAAAATGTTTATCATTTCCACCAACTGCATTATCTTAGTAAACCAAAATAAGTACTTTTATCATAGATATAGTCAATAATTAATACGTTTTTAAAGAACCTAAACTTCCCCCAAATTTCAGCACAGATAGTTTGATTGCATGTTTCACCTAGTAGGTAATTTTTAAAAATAGTGTATAGAAATGAATAGCTTCAAACTGAGTAAATATATATATATACCATGACGTAAAAAAATCAAATCAAAAGCAACTGCCAAGCTAATAAGTCAAAGAAATAGTAATTGTAGCTTGTACAGATATGTGAAATGTTTTTTTTTTTTTTATGTGAAATGTTTTTAAAGCTCTTACCAGTTAACTACTAATATGTATCTCCAAAGCTTAACTTAGAGTTGGAAGATGAATTTCACAGTAATGTAATTTTAACCACCACTTACATTCACTTTATTACTAAGACATTTACTCTATGTCACCATGGTGCTTTTGAGGGTGCACAATTTACAGCTTCAATTTATACATATGTAATTCACTAACATATGGGACAGTTCTTACTATTACAAACTAACCCTTAAAAGAAAAATAAAATCCACCTTACACAGAACTCTAAATATGGTTTGACTTAAAACAGATTAACACAATACAGTTTTTAATATTTTAGCCATTTTCTAAATGACAGCATGTAAACTTGTCTATTTAGTATGTAAAAGCTACAACTTTATTAACTGAGAAATTATGCATTAATTTTCATCAACCATCTTTTTTATCTTTACTAAAAACTTCCATGACTTGCTGATTCTGTTTCAGTAAATTCCAAACTGTATTTTTGGGGTGTGGGGGAAGAGGGAAGAAAGGTGATAAATACATTGTAAACAGAAATAAGTCCCCCCAAAAAGTAAGCCTTTAAAAAAATATTTTTTACTTCTACACTACTTAACACTTAAGAGTCTGTTATAATGTTTCATCTTTAACACTAACAACAAATAAATTACTGTACAGTCAGTCTGCCCCACCATCTCGGGACCTAAAATTCTAAACATGTGAACAGAAGAGTAAATTCATCAACGCTCACTTCTGAAACTTAGTACCATTTATATGATTTGACTAGACTGGTCAAAGCAATTACAAACACACAATTCAGTAGGTAGTTGGTTATTTTGCTTTTGGGAGTGGCAAAGAAGAGAGAGTGAAAAATGGAGTGAGAAAAAAAAAAATTTGATCCCCATTTTAGGGTGGGGAAAATCAAAGGGAAGTTTAAACCTCTGAATTCCATTTGACCTATGCACTGAGGTCCAAGATGAAATTTTCAATTTTTCGAATAACCCCCATCCCATTCTTCCTTGAATATCAAACCAATTGGTAGTCACATCTCCAAGTACAACCAGAGTTTCACAACTTGTTGAATGAAGTATCAGTAAGATCAGAAAGACTAAATTTCCAACTAGAAAAGAATCCACTCAAGTATTACATTCAGTTTTTAAATCATTTACCACATGACAACAGATTTGGCTTCAATCGCTCTTGTACATACTCACACCCACAATAGGCATCCCCGCTACTGATCTGCTTTGAAATACAAGGCCATATAGTCAGAGATGGCATTCTCCAAGCCAAACTGTAAAAAGATTTTAAAAAGTAATTTCTAATTTTACAGAAATGCTTCTTCAAAAAATATTTCCTCTCACTTGCTCTTCTCCTATACTGAAGGACATATAATGTCCTTTTTTTTTTTTAATCCAAGCTAACCTGGCAGCAAATCTCTGCAAATTAAAACGAAAAACAAAAATAGAAAAATTGTACTTTTTATCTTCATTTTTGGTGGGAGATAATACATCGGAGTGAAGTTCCCGTAGCTGCTGCACAAGAACTGAAGATGGCTCTTTAGGGGGCTTCTGACACACTTCAGCATAACTTAACTTCCGGGGTTCCTGTAGAGCCACAGCTGTAGCTGCATTTATGTTACTATCACATGGTGAAGCAGTACTTACCCTCTATGGCTTTGTAGTAGTTGGAGGAGAAACTGGTCTATTCATCTGGTTGAGACCATCCTTCTGAACAGAGGAATGCTCTATTAGATCCTTCTCTTGCTGAGTTGTGCTTAAGGCAGTAAGATCAGCTGCACATGGAGAACTGGTACTCATACTGAGTTACTGGCCAGAAGTGCATTCTGTCTGCTCATCTGCAGGCACTGGGCAACTAACTCTCAACTTTTCATTACCCTTTTCTTTGCAGACACCTTTAACAACATCAGACATTCTATTCTCCAAAACAAGTTCACCTGGCATTCTTGATGAACTTCCAGGTAAAGGTGGAAAATTTGAGGCTAGTAAGTCAAACTTTGGAGTTGGAGCCTTTGATTCAGCTGTTGGAGGATGAGGTCTTGAAATCCTCACCTTCTCATCATCTTTGGCCTCTGAAAAGAGTTCTCCTTCCCTTCCATAGTCCCCATTCTGTTCCATCTGCAAAATGGAAGCCTCCTTTTGAAGGTAAATTTGCTCCTGATACCCAGTTACTGTACGATTGGTTATGCCACGCAGTTGGAAAGTTTCTTGAACTAGATCTGTTCAACTGTCCATCCCCCCAATGATACAGAGCCCTCTGCTGAGTGCTCTGAACCACTGGATGACCTAAAATGAGGCTTCACACATTTTGGGGCAGGGGGGGGCAATGGTCGACTCATATTCATAGCAGCATTTGTTTTATACAATCCTGGCCAATTAAAGCCATTCACAAAACTACCACTGGGAAAAGGGAGCCAGTGGTGTCTTGAAGTAAGCTGTAGGATTTGGAACCAAGACTGAAGCACAATACCATAGACCAAGTACTGTTGGTGAGGATTATACACAGCTGCATAAAGACTAGGGAGGCATATCATGCTTGAGTTTGAATGGGCTAACTATAGATACTGGTATCCATTAATCAATAACCATTCCCAGTTAAAAAAAAAAAAATGTATTGATGACTTTTATCCTTGCACAGCTGGCTTGTCCTGAAATGTTTTAACTTCTTAAGTATTTAAAAGCCTGTTGTGCATTGTTGTCTGACTAGAAAGTGATATACCAATTGCTACTGTGTGCAGACTCAGTTTATCACCACTTTGGGGCAGTTTTCGCTTTTGAATGAAGCTTTCACTTCCTCTACTGGTGTTGTTTCAGGAATCTCTTTAAGAATTATGATACAATGCTTATGACTTGGTCTCACTTTCTTATGCTTCTCATCAACTTGTACCATGGGAGAAAATCTTAACACTTAAAAAAGAATTAGATCAGGGTCTACAGTCAACGTTATTATTTCTTCCATGTTGGTAACTGCCCAAACTGGGAGGAACTGATCATTTTCCATTTGAGATATCAAGTAAAGATCCTTTGACAAATTTTCTTGTGAAAAACAGAATTTAAATTGTTTCTTCAGACATTCTTTTAGGTCTTCTGTAGAAACTACTGAATTGCTTTCTCCAGAATCATCATTATTTGGTAACTCAGATCTTCTGGTCCTAAAATCATCCCATCAGTTGATTCTTCAATGCCTGTAGTATTTCTTGTGGTTTCACAAGATGAAGAATACATTACTTCATAGTCTTTACAAGTACCTTCTGAGAGCTCACATTACCCTCAGGATGAGCACCTGATACAGCTGCTGTTTTATGCCAAGAGCTTTTAGTTTCAGGAGTTACTAGGGTGGCATCAGTATTTCCAGGAGCAATTTCTTGTCATACTTTGGCATTAGGATTTAGACCAGTTCCTTTAGATGTTACCTGCTCCTCGAAAAGCAACATGTTGTCCCCTACTTGGCCCAATTGTTTCTACCACCGCAACTCCAACCGGCTCACATGCCTGTGCCCCAATAGAATAATTTTTAAAAACAGTTTTCATTCTGAAATATAAAAAGGTATAATACTTTTACAATTTCATCTGTCTTATATTCTTGCAACAATACTAGATAAAAGTTGCTTAAGGCTGGTATTACTCTATGCAGACTAGATAATGTAGACTTAGAAAAAAATTACCAAAACATACACAGAAGCATCTAGTTCTAAAAGGATAGAGCCTCTAAAAACTCAATGTGGCACCTTCAAATCCCCGAGACTCAACTCCTCCAGTTCATCTTTCCACCAAGTCTATGATGTGCCCTCCGCCCAGTGGTTAAGAGATTAGACGTGAATTCCAGATAATGAGAAGAAGGAAGAGTCTACATCACGCCACTTACGTTTCTCTGTACACACATCCATTTTCCCTCATTAATACTCTCTCTAGATTCTCCCACTGGTCCAGTGTTAGACTGAATTGAAACACTATGAAGGCAAACGTTCTTCAGAATTGCTTTTAGAATAAAAATCTGAAGGAGCATACCTGGTAATTTCCAAAATGACTACATCAAACCTGAACTGTACCAGAATTCTGACAATGATATAATGCCCCAAGAAGAAAACCAGAGGAAAACAACATGTAGCTTCAAACCAAAAAACAAAACAAGAAATTGAGAAGGGCTGTGTCCTTAAAAAACTAAATTTTAAGCATTCACAAATGTAGGTAGAAGAATCTTTAATCGGCTGTTGCAAGGACTCGCATTGCTGTTTCAGGGGCTCTCAATAGAATTGCTTTGCACCAAGAGTTCAGGAAACCCTTCAGACTCCTGGATTTAGCGAGCCCATAAATAAGTCCCATGTTGAACTTTAATTATGTTTTTGACCACACTTCATTGTGCAGATGAATTTTAATTTGAAGTATTCTTCTTTTCTTCATTTGCTTTTCCATTAAACTGAGCGCTTTAAGTCAGAGAATCCTTTTTTTATCTTTCTATCTTTTTAACTTTACATCATCAATATTTAGCATGGTGACATATTGGCCTTCCAAGTGATGACTTCATGAAGAATGAACCTCCTCTTTTCATTCCCTAACACCCGCATACCAAACACACACATCCATTTTAAGGGAAAATGTAAAAACACTGCAACTCGCAGACACAGAGAATGAACGTGCATTAAGACAACATGTGAACACACAATAGAGATGCCATTGCTGAAGCAGCTGTTTTGCTTCCAAACACTGTGGTGATTAATAGTGATTTTAAGCTTCACAAGAAGATTAAGAGTGTGTGTGCTACTAATTAATTTTTAAGTCTTAGAAATTTTGGCTATATCAAATACAGAAGAAAAACCTAGTATGTTTTGGCCTCTGCTTTAATTTTGATAAAATGGCTACAACATACAATATTCAAGCAACCAACTGTTACCTTTTAAGATATCAACAAATAGTGAGACTCATGGAAACATTTTATCAGAGAAATGATGTTCATGGCCAGACTAAAAATAATAATGCCTAAAAAGAGCACTGTGACCTAGAGCACTGTGACCTGTGGCTTATATATTCAGTTACCTCTCCCTAACCCAGTTCTCTACCTTTACAATACCCAGGAAGATAATACAGACTAGTCATTGCAGGCAATTTGTGAAAGCCATATACGAGTCCTGACATGGACCAAATCCAGAACCAGAGAAGTATCATAACATGCCAAGCTTACTGAAAGGCTACACGACTCATCAGCAATTGTAAGGCACAGACTTTAAAACAGCTTTGAATATGGTGAGAAACTTGGTCTCATGCAGCCTCATTGTGACCTTATATACTAGGAATCCAATCTGATAAAACCCAGCCCATCTATCTCTACATAGATGGGGTGAGGCTCACCCACAAGCGATAGAAAATACGATCCAAGTAACTATGAATTATACAAGTCAGAAATGTTTGTCTTTCCCCATAAGATCGGCCTCTTCCACTATAGCAATTTTTCTCCAGGAAGTCATCGGGACCCAGGCTCCTCTCAGCTAACCCCTCTATCAGCCCACGATTAAGACTGTGGCATGTGCATTCCAGAAAGCAAGATTGAGAAAGGATCTTGAAGAAGAGAGACAAGGGCTGTCTCTTAAGGAAGCCTCCACATGAAACTAAGCTGTCACATGAAACTTAGGCTTACTCTGCAATAGCCAGAACTCAGTTCCATGGCCATGAAATATACAAAGATGCCTCTGTTCTTGGAAGTCATGTTCCTGGTCAAAGATGGAGGATTCTATCACACTAGAAGAATGAGAAAACAGACACCTGGGAAAAACAACAGTTTCTATCATAGGCACAGCACTCTATACAAGTGAACTCAACAATCATAAATGAAGCTGCTATAATTCTGAACAATGCACCATGGGTAAAAGTTTCTTCACAACTTCAAAGCTGTCTTGACTCACTTAATTGATCCAACAAACAAGCCATTTTAAACTACTACTATATGTTATTCCTTTAAGAGTTGCCTCTAATAATCATGAACTTTATTTCACAACCACCATTGGTGAACAGCAGAATGTAGGGCTAGAGATACCACCAATAAAACAACTTATTTGATAAATGCAAACATTTATCAAATGTTTTTAGAACAAGACACAATCAATTCTGTTAGTAAAACATTTACCAAATTTAGTAATGAAGTTATTTGATTTCCCAAAACACAAACTTTGTTTCTCCTATTCTATTTCAAGATAACGATAATACTAAGAAAATTTTAAAAGCAGTTGACTTTACAAGGTATGGACATTTCATTTCATTTCAAAAGAGATGCAGGTATGCCCAGATTTGTTCAACCAACCCATGATAATTCTGTGAAAGTTTCCTTCTCAGTCTCTCTTCATCTCATTAAACCCACCAAAGTACATTAAATAGCTACACATTTAGTAGCCTCTCCCAAGAGGTGGTTAGTTCACTTATTCAGTATTTCAACAAATATTTATCAAACACCTGTTGACAACTTCCATGTGCTAGAGAGTAGACTCTCAAAAGAGTACGTGACACAGGACTCAGCCTCCCCAAGAGTTTTATATTCAAAAGGCATTGCTTCTGGTAAGTAGAAAAAACAGTTTTCTCAGAACTAAAGCACTCCCTACTGTCTATTTGAGTGCAGGATAGTCAATAGCTATCCTGTTCAGTCAGAACAGATTCTCCAACTGTACCTAAACAAATTGCCAAGAAGTGCTAAGACCTCCCCAAAAAAGCCTTTTTTAAAGTTCTTTCAAATAACTGGTTAAAAAGGATCTTACTACAGAATAGTATGCAGATAATTTGGGTAACGTAATGCTATGAGAATGAGTCAGAAACATCATCACTCTTGTAACCTTGACCCTGAATTTGGTCTGAAACTTCTACACATTTTTAGTGGCATGTAAGAACAGATGCTACACATGAAAATGGCAACACTTAAAATTCATAGTAGCAAAAATCATTACTCTTCCCACTCACTGGACCCCCTGAACTTTAATAATGTCTGACCTGGTTGGTCAGTAAGTTCTAAAAGCGGACAGAAGAAAATTGCCAGTATTAAATATTGCTGGAATGATTTTTCATTTAGAAAGATGTTACAGTTCTCTTAAAAACAGGTCATCAGTTCTGCAGACACTTAATTTTCTTAAGGGAGTAGACAGTGCAGAGAGCAGATACCCACCTTTGTTTAAGTCAACAGAATCCAGCTAAGAACTAGATTCATATATTATTATCCTTACACTTAAAGCAAAAATAAATACACAACCACGTACACACCCACACAGTTATATATAAACCCATCCAAAGCAAAGATAAAGTGTGGCAGGCAAAAGAAGTAGATGTGAAAGAAAACTATTTTTTTTTCCAAGATAAATGGCACAAAAGCCATCTCATTAACTATCCAAGGGAGATGATATACTATACAACTACGTCTAGATAATCACACATTAATAATTTTCACATTACACAACTGAAAAGATTTATAAAGGCAGAATTTAAGAATCTACCTTGCTTAAGTCACTTAAAAGAAGCAAAGTGACAAGAGCAACAAGCAATTAGGTATTTCTCTACAACACCACAATGCGAAGTGACTTCCTACATGCCCCTTGCTTTACTCGAGTATCATTTCAACATGCAATTATCCCTGTGCTTTGATGCAGCTGTCATCTGTTTTGTTTTTAATGCAAATACCTACTTGCTGATTAAATATTTCCCATATTATAGTTTGTGAACCATTTCTCATATTTTGCTGATAAACTACTTTAGCAAGCTAGCCAACCTTTGAGACCCCTTAGACAATATTCAGCCAGAGGAGCTCTAAAGTACATACCCTGCTTTGACATGTTAGAGAGCTGAAGCACGTGGTCACATAGAATGCTGTATAAGGAAGAAGCTCTCATCTTTTCTCACTCAGACTGTAGAAGGTTTTCTTTCACAGCTTTACAAAAACACCAGCCTCCAGATTGGTAGGGCATTATCCTGGCACTACATCCTTCTAAAAAGCTTAACACATCCTGTGTGAAAAACAGGAACTCTTTCTGTCCACATGGACAAAATGGAGCTCCAAGACAGTAAGTGATTTGCCCAGGGCCATGCTCTTAGCACTACAGCGAAACTGGCTGTGGAAGCCAGACCTCCTAGCTGGTCTGGATCCCCAGGCATGGATCTTCTGGCCCAGGAAAGGTGATGGTCTCTTCCCAGCACTCAGCTAAAGAAATACATCATAAACCATATCTGGTTAATCACTTTTTAAAGGCAACAGAATTGAGTTTAAGATTTTTCTCAAACTCCTGGCTTCAAGCGATCCGCCTGCCTCTATATCCTTTTTAAAGTGCTAAGATTACAGGTGTGAGCCACCACACATGGTCCACTAAGTTTTTCATTTTAAGTTGATAGACCCGTGATTCTTTATAATTATAGTTATTTTTTAAAATATTATTTTTACTGGTTTATATAAGTTTTTATTTTTAGCACTTTACTAACATCGCTCCTATCAAATTGTCAATTTAGATGATATGATCAAGATATAATAGGCCAGCCAGGTGTGCTGGTTCACGCCTATAATCCCACACTTTGGGAGGCCAAGGTAGGAGGAACCCTTGAGAACAGGAGTTCATGACCAGCCTGGATAAAAAAAGGGAGACCCTATCTGTAAAAATAATTTTCAAATACAGGCCAGGCATAGTGGTTGCACACCCGTGGTCCCAAGCTACTCAGGGGGCTGAGCCACGAGGATCATCTGAACCTAAGAGGTTGAGGCTGCAGTGAAGCCATGATCATGTCACTGCACTCCAGCCTAAGCAACAGAGCCCAAGACCCTCTCACACATATATATTTGTGTATAACTTTAAAAGGCAGAATGAAAAGGGGAAAATATTAAAACATGCCTAACTTTTAAAGTTACAATCATGAGATTGCTTGCCAAGTATTTTTTTAACATATTGTCTAAAGAAAAACAACTTTTACCAAAACAGTGTATCAAACAATTAATAACTTCACTAAAGAGTGATAACATTTTCCTTATAGAAAGGTTACAGATTTCTCTATATTCATCTTCTGTACCTTCCTTCTGGAAGTTAGACCCTTATAAAAGAATAACTCAAGGACACCATAAATAAAGTAAAAAAGAGAACCAACAGACTAGAAAAAAAATACTTGCAAACCACATATATAAGACTTGTATCTAGAACATGGAAAGAACCCTTACAACTCAATAAAAACGACAACACAATTAAAAAATGAACAAAAAATATGGATAGATATTTCTTCAAAGAAGATATACAAACAGCCAATAAACACATAAAAAGATTCTCAACATCATTAATCATTGAGGAAACAGAAATCAATACCACAGTGAGAGACCACTTCACACCCACCAGGAAGGGTATAATCAAAAGTACGCAATACACAAGTGTTGATGAGGACTCTGAGACAATGAAACCCTCATACGTTCCTACCGGGAAATGTAAAACGATGCAGCTACTTTGAAAACCAGTTTTACGGTTCCTCAAAAGATTAAACCATATGACCCAGAAATTCTGCTCCAAGGTATCTAACCAAGAGAAACAAAACATACGTCAGGCCGGGCGCGGTGGCTCACGCCTGTAATCCCAGCACTTTGGGAGGCCGAGACGGGTGGATCACGAGGTCAAGAGATCGAGACCATCCTGGTCAACACGGTGACACCCCGTCTCTACTAAAGATACAAAATATTAGCTGGGCACGGTGGTGTGTGCCTGTAATCCAAGCTACTCAGGAGGCTGAGGCAGGAGAATTGCCTGAACCCAGGAAGCGGAGGTTGTGGTGAGCCAAGATTGTGCCATTGCACTCCAGCCTGGGTAACAAGAGCAAAACTCCGACTCAAAAAAAAAAACATACGTCAACACAAAAATGTATACACTCATGTTCATACAAGCATTAATCACAACAGCCAAAAATGGGAAACAACCAAATGTCTACAAACTAATGAAAGGATAAACAAAAGGCAGTGTATTCACACACTGGAGTTTTCAGCAGTAAGAAAGAATGAGACAATATGAATGAATCCCAAAAGCATTATGCTAAGTTAAAGCTAGTCGTACTGTGTAATACTAATTATATAAAATGTCCAGATAGGCAAATCAGTAGAAACAGATAGATTAGTGATCACCTAGGACTGAGGTGAGCCAGTGTGAGAATGGGGAGCCATGCCTGACAGGTACTGGGTTTCTTTTTGGGCTCATAAAATATTCTGTAAGTAGATAACAGTGACAGACTCACGAGTTTGTGAATATACTAAAAGTCACTGAATTATACACTTAAAAAGAGTGAATGCTATAGTATGTGGATTGTATATCCATAGCAGATTATAATTGAAAAAAGAATATTTATATAATATACAATACACCTAATTTAAAATTGGAATGAAGAAAGGAAGGACAGAAGAAAAAAGAAAAGAAAGTTAAGGGGGAGGGAGGGAAAGAGACACACACACACAGACAGATCTCAAAGAAGTCAGTCATGATTGTGCGCACACTTCTCATGGAACCAGCCTCCAGAGGGAATGCAGTCACATGCAAATTAGGTCATATGAAGTAAGCTATTTTATTTTACATATTGTAATGGAAAACTTTTAAGCAAAGCATGTTTCTTTAATAAATTGGATATTTCTCACAGCTTATTTTAAATACTGTAAAATTACCTCCTTGTGTTCTCCTGTGAACTACATCATCAACGTTCTTCATGTTTTATTTTCCTGACACACCAGTTAATATGTTATTTCCATTGAACACAATCCTGGTCTTCAAACTATCCACAGTATTTAGGGATGCCACTTCCCATCCATCCAACAATTTGATAAGGTATTGTAAGACTGGAAACAACGAAGAGGAGTGGAAGATCTTTCCTGTTCATTTTCACTGGGTACCAAGCGTGACTACACCTACCATTCACAGATTTCCAGTGACACTTAAAATTTTAGCAAGATACTTTTCCAACCTCAGAAACATAGAAACCAAGAAAACACCTCTGTCACAAATACCACTGATGAACCCAGAAAATGCTACCAAAACAGTAGTAGAGAGTTAATAAATCAACTCCTACAGCTTTAAACCCCAATTCAAAAGTCTCTCTGTGACTTCCAACCTGTTTGGGTTAATCCCCAGACAGGTGGCAACCTTACTTAGAGTGAATTAACCACCCCCTAATTGTACAAAAAGAGCTTGCTGGTAATTGACAGGAACACAGCTAAATATGACTGTGACCCTTAGGGAATATAAAATTTACATAACCCCCTTAGAGGTTAAGGGAATAGTGACTTCTATAAACAGAGATTTTAATTTAACAGAAAACATTTTAAAATAAAGTTTGGGTATACAGTCCTTTTAGGAATTAAAACAGACATCATAAGCAGGTAAATACATAGCTGCTGTGGGAGGAAATTAAATTATCCAAGACTGCTTTTACCCAGGAGCTTTTTAAGCTTCATCCTGTATGGCTTATTTTGGATGATTTTTCAACCAGATAATAAAAAGCAATTTCAATTAAGTGCTGCAGTCACAGAGTTTACCACATGAAATCCTTCTAAGCTTCATTTCCACGTCTCTTCATGGGTACACCTCTAGCATTCGTTCATTCTTTGGGAAGCGTAGAAACATAGAAACCAAAATGTGTGTGCAGAGTCCCCTGGAAAAAATCCCAAACTTCCATCATTCCCCTATTCTCATTCGCTTCAAAAAGTAGTCGGCCTTGTGGAAATAAATGTAGAAGTCAGACTTTCAATCATCTTCATAAGCCAAAAAGTGTATTTGTTGCTTTTCCATTAAAAAGAGCAAAAATCACATGGGAGCCAGTATTTCTAAAACAATGAATCAAAACTTTGAAAGACCCATGTTCAGAAACATATTCATATTCTATATATTTATACATAAAATATATGTAACACTACACAATGCATGATGCTTTAAAAAAACCAGCATCAAGGTTATCTGCTGTGACTTCACATCAGCAGACAAAAGGAGGCGGACAGAATTCTGGAGTAAGATAACACTCATGTCAAAACAAATAACAAAAAAAAGCCATGGGTCAAATTCCCACTTCTACAATCAAAACTTATCATAGGAGCTCTTGAAAAGGAGTGCATCTGTCATATGTTAATGACTTCAAGCATTCACTGAACTTTAAGGTATATAGGAAAACTTAAAAGCACTTCACAACTCCTTGTGGGTATAATTAGCCTGTTGGAATTGTTGGCAATTCTCACTCTGGGACTTTAAAAGGTCACTCCACTCTTTAAGATACCAAATTTGGAGGCACTTTCCCTTCTGGACAGATTAGGCACACCCTGCAATTAGTATACACAGCTGCACCTGTTGCAAAACCTTCAATGATGTAAATGGGGACAGTCAAAAACATTCGAAATTCTTGAGGGATTATTAGATCTTGGAAACCAAGTGATGAACAAATCTGATGTCTGCTATTAAGGTGACGAATTGTGGTCACACCCTGACCACACACAGAAGCCACATTTTTTGTTATTTATAGGCAATTCCAGCTAACATAGAAACCTCAATCACTTGACTCTCTCAATCTTGTAAGCAGTCAACTTGCAATTTTGCTATTTAACAGAACTAAGTTTTTCATAATTTAGTTGAGTTTCTACAAAGAACAAAGAGAATTCCAAATTTAAAAAGAATACAAGTAACAAAAACAGCATTATTTATCTAAACTTTACTAAATCATGGTGAAATAAAAATACTGCTGGTCACATATGGGGAAAAGTCTTTGTAGTTTATAAATGTGTAGCTCAAAGCTACTCAAATACTTTAATCTGTTAATCCTTTACAAAAGTATTATGCACATTGACAATGGTAGTGATTTCATTGCTACAGTATAAAATAATATAGATATTTAAAAGAAATGTATTTAGGAAAAAGGTATGAATTTCAGAAATCAGATTCAAAGTTTGAGAAAGTCTGATATAACTGTCATTAAACAGTAGTAAAATCTTAAATACAAAGCCATAAATTATGCCCTTCCTTACTTCCTTCTGTCCTTTTCTAATGAAAGAGAAGCACAAAGAACAGGGTTCTAAAGCCCCTTTCTCTTTAAACCATGTGAATCTTAGACATTTTCTATGCCAGAAATCACTGTTCTGTGGCAGCTGATATATATGGCCACATAAACAAAAAAGAAATACCGTAATGCTGTTTTAAGCTAAGATATCCTTGGTATATCTATTAGGCAAAGAATCTCTTATTGTCACCACAATATGTGAAATATCATCATATATGCTTAAGCGCTTTTTCTTCATATAGAAACTCTTTACAAAACATAATTGAAATTTTATAAAACAGGAAAAGAGCTTTTTTTTTTAAAGGAGTTTTACTACCTTACTGCTAAGGAGGTATACTTTCTTCTGAGTGTATTAAACTATATGTAGAAATACTTTTAAAAGGTTAGTTGAAATAATAATATAAAATTATTTGAAGTGATGAGACTACTTCAAAATTAGCATTCTAACTTGAATAAAACCAACAGGAGCTGATTACTCCTGTTGGTTTTATTCAAGCAATTCTTATTGCTCTCCAAAAGTATTTTCATCTGATATTTACTTTAAAATGTGTATTTGTGTGTGTGTGTGTGTGTGTGTGTGTGTGCGCTCACCTTTAAAAAGTCATAGAATTATGGAATTGATCTTTTTTTAGGTTTGCTGTTGGGTCTCTATGGTAATCAAATTTAGAAAACTATAAATTATATTTAAATTTATTATTTACAAGCAATTAATTATAAGAAAAAACAGCCAGGTGGCTTTCATTACATAAATTACTGTTAATGACAGAGACCTCATGCTGCGACTGTATTTAGCATTTGCATGTGTCAAGTGCACATAGTGGTGTGAAACTCCCCTCTTCAGAGTGGAACCAGCCATTGAAGCAGAAAGCAAGATACCCAAGTTTCAGATCACACCAGAACCAGTCCTTTCGGTCTGACATATTCCAAAGGTTTCCAAATTTGTAGCAGAAAATCTGTCTTGCAATAACATTTTGGGGAAACAGCTTTCAAACCAGATACAGAATTACTGATCATCAAATAGTGTTTACTTACACTTAGTTACTTTAAGTCCTATCTGTATGATTTAAATATTACCAAAAAAAAAATGTTTAATCAATTTGCCGTAAACCAAGTAAGGCATCTATTAATGTCTCATAAATACAGTTTTTAAAATAATGTTTAATGTTGCTTTCCTACCACAGAAACTGTGCCAAATAAATGAACAATAACTCTCTCTTCAGGGTCTGTCTCTCTTGTCTTACTTAGCCTTTTGTAGTGATTCTTCCAACTCTACAGTAGGTATAAGTCCCTTCCAAAGACAATGAAGAATTTTACATCTTTATGCTGAGAAAAAAAAAACTTGAGTTTCAAGGATATAATAGGAGAATAGGAGTTCATATGATATAGAAGGAAACAGAAAGAAAATAAAAATAAATAGCAATTAAGTTTCATCCTATTTCAAACTCTATCCCAAATAGAGGCCTAAATAAGTATTTCCAACCCCTTCCGTCAGTACCATCAGAACAGGGAGAAAGTTTTATGAAAATGCTTTGTAAATGATAGAATAAAATTCCAAAATTACTAGTCTTCTTTTCTAAGCAAATAAAAAATTATTTAAAATTTAACTGAAAATCCTATATTGAGCTCCCTCTCTGGCATTCAAGAATTAACTGCCTAGTTAGATTATCTAACCCTCCACTTTTCTTCTTCCTTTAAGAAGTCTGCCTTATAAACAACCACCAGAGACAAGGATAATGGAAACAGGTTAGAAGGGAGTAGGTCTTTAGCCTCTGAGAAGTTAGTCTACATTTGGGGAGCACAGAGAAAAGGTGGACTTAAAATAAGGGCTAGTAGTTAAGGAAGGAGAATCTGCACTTACTAAGTACAAGGATAAAGTAACAAGATGGACTTTTTCAGCTAAAAGAAGGAACTAATTTACTCACATTATCTTTGGCCAAAGTAATGATCCTGGTGAAGGAGTGGGGTTTGTACATTTAGCGCCAATGACGCTGCCATGGCTCAAAAACATACCTTCTCTTTAAGAATCACTTTAGAACCACTTTAGCAGTTACACAAGAAAACCAACTTCACAGTCACATCTTACACCTCACTAAAATACCAAGTGAGAAACACAGACAAATGGACGTGGCCACCAAATATACAACAAGGAATTTATTGCTACTGAATTATAACACATGGCAAAATAATTATGTCTCCAGAATTCATGATCACCTGCTAACATCAGCCCCCTTGTTTTTCAAACTTAATGATGCCTGTTTGTCTCCATTATCAAAGTACCAAAGACACTGTCCCACACACTCTAAAAATACTGGCCAAAAGAGAAGTCCCAAAAGTGTTTTTGCTATCATTACAGTGTGTCCCCAGGAGGAAACAGTATTCATTACAGCACTTTTAAAACACTGAGTCACTAATTGACAGTTGCAACACATGCGAGGGAAAATGAAAGTTCCGTTATTAGAGGACATTAGAAGAGTTAGACAGAAGACAAGATGCAGGTGCTGATAGCCGGGCAGGTACAGGGCACACCACCAATGAAAACCATCAGCACCTTCCACTGGAGCGGCTGGTAGCATTCACTCTGAGCACATACGCTTAAGAATTCACAGTAAGTGAAATTCAAACTCTTTCCCTCTTACTGTTACATAATAATTTTTCAGCACCCTATCAAGATCTTTTCATGTATTCCTAATCTCAATCAGGAATAATAGTAGCTTTATCACTATGAATACAAAAACAAAAATTGAGAGCTACCTATCAATAAAAGCCTGAGTGTTTTGGTGTCTGGTGCAAGTTAATGATTCAGTGATACTGTGATCAGGTCATATTCATGATGAATTTTCAGAGGGCAGCCTAGAAAAGTCAGTCAGCACTGCTGTCTATTTTTATGATGCTGGAGGCAGTACAAGGTAGAGCTCACTGGTGCTGTGTGCCAGGCAGGACACGAGAATTTTACTCATAGGGTTAGGAATTCCAGCCCCAGAGAAGGCCAAAAGCAAAGGCCTAATGTAGACAGTTAAGATAAAGCAGCTTAGCTTCAAGAGGAAGCTAAAAATGTTCTGCTTTGGAAACTGCCATATTTGTGACCTCATGGCAGAAAACCAAAGAGCTCCACAAATCACGCAAGTAGTTAGTTCACTGGTGTTTCACAATGCCCTGTGGTGGCTCAGCTGTGAATCCCCAGAAAGAGAAGTTCATGAGGTTTAACAACAGGTGACAGATCACCTCAGTAGGTCCAATTTTGCAAAAATACCCATGCCAAAGACCATAGAGGCACTTGTTTGACATGGTCGAGGTTGGTAAGTGTTACACTAGTCTCCATCTGAATTATGTAAGCTACACGCCTAAGATTACAAAAAGAAAACGGGGGATAGAAAAAGATCAAATC